GAAATAAAATTATGTAAAAAAAATTAGAGATGAGGAAGGATGTCGTTGGATATAGGAACGGATGTCGCCGGAGAGAGTGATAGATGGAGATGGAATGAGTTGCGATTTAGGGATTTAGGTTATGAGTTGTTGCTGCTGCGTAGTTATATACCCAAAACATTTGTGTTGCGAAAATAAAATCTGTTGCAAAATTAAAATTCGTGTTGCGAATTCAGAAATCGAGTTGCGAATTTGAAATTCAGTGTTGTGAATTTGGAAATCGCGTTGCGAATTTGGAAACTGTGTTGCGAAATTGGAGTTCGTGTTGCGAATTCGAGATCGCGTTGCGAATTTGTTGGTTATTTTCGTAAATCCAAAAAAAGTTGATTAAAATCGTATAATATAAGGCATTTTCGGTCACTGAAGTTATTTTCTCAATTAATTATTGATTTGACACATACTACATCACTTAAAGTATCGATGTGGTATACGTCACGTCACTTAAAATAATGACATGATATATGTCACATCAATAATGAGTACATGTGAAAATATCACGTCAGTAACATTATTAACAGTTAATCAACTAACTGTTTCTTTTCAAATAGAAGTATTTTAACCAAAAATAAATCGTTGAGATTAAAATACTAAAAAAAATCAAAATAACGTTGTTGGAAGTAATTTTGTCATTACGACTTTAGTTAGATTATTTTATCTGTTGATGAGTTGGTGATACAAAATTTCATCATTTATATTTCGGTTACTGTGTTTGATAAGAAGAAAATTTTAAAAAAAGTACATAGCATGTGAATGATATTTTGTACTTCAATTATTGTAACACAACTTTTTTTTCTTATCGTTGTAGTTAGAATAATCATGGTGTTTTGTGGTGTAATAACGCGTTGAATGTAGTTCAAATTGTTATAAATTCGAGTTTAAGCTTAATTTATACATCTTATAGTGAAAAATAGAAAAAATGAGATGTTTTCATGATGACTTGAACTTTTACATAGCATGACATAAGCATGTCTAAGCCATTAAGCCAATCACAGCTGTTGGTATTATTAACTAAATATTTTACATATATGTTATATTGTTGATGAAAATTAAAATAAATAAATTGAGATTGGAGGTATAAATATAACTTCTTGAATTTCGAGTCAACGAATATTAATTGATCTTATAAACCGAGTCATTGATGATATTATTTTCAACTTTTGTATTAACTTTTGAACTCTAAACTCTAAACTATCAAATTAAAATATTTTTTTTAATTGATGGCTAATTATTTTATATTTTAAATAATGTATGAACAACTAAATCTTGTGCACCAATTTACTTGAAATATTGCTGCTCATTAAAGGCAGAAAGAAATAAGACAGTGAGAGATAGTGCAGGACAAAGATCACCAAGCAAGAATAGATAATGACCTGAAGTTCAATTTATAATATCAATTAATTTATAAAAGGAAAAAAATATTCAGAATGAGATTAACATGATATAAAACATATAGAATAAGTAAATTTTAACGATTTGGTTATGCCAAATATCACTTATGAGAGGAGAAATCCATTGTAAAATATAGACGATGATCCAATAATATTTATTCCGAATTTATTAATCTATTATAATGTATAGATACTGTCGTAATCGGTTTTCGCTCGGGGCACGAAATTTTACTTTCCGAGAAAATAATGTGGATAAAAAATTGTTTTTGATTTAAAAATATTTTGGGAGTCTCCATTGACCTTTTTGGGTTAGGTAGGTCGAATACCTAAAAATTATCTTTTAAAAGAGTTTTTAAGGAAACATCAATTAAAAGATAAACTGGTATGCGTTTAATCAATAATTCATTTTTTTTAGAAATAAAAAGGGATTTGTGGTCGGTTACGTTTGGGGAAGTATTATCACCCCCACAACGCCCAAAGTTGGTATCTGTTGATTATAAATTGTCTCTAATAATATAATTTAAGAATTCAAATATGAATTTAATTTACAACCGTGTTATTTCAAATTTAATTTGATGTTTTTAAGGAAAATATTATATATATATATAGGTTTTTGTAAATATGACATTTATTTAAAAATATCAGAAAAAGACATCTAGTTACTTTAAGATTGTCTTTTCTTTAATATTAATAAATAAATAAATATTAATAAGGATATAATAATAATAACAACTAAGTAAATATATATACATTTATAAGCAGAATATTTATTTATCAGAATAAGACATCTGGTTGCTTTAAGACTGTATTTTCTTAATATTTGAAAAATAAATAAATATTAAAAATAATAATTTTCCTAAGAAAAAAATTTAAATAAAACAATATGTATTTTCTGGTTTTTATAAATAAGATATTTATTTATTTTAAAATATCGGAATATGACATCTAGGTGCTTTAAGACTGCCCCTTTTTTATATTAAAAATAAATAAATATTATTATTAAACAATATATATATTTATATGACTAAGATAAAAATAATAAAAAAATAATAATGAAAGTAATATTTAAACATATTGATATTAATAATAAAAACAAAATAAAATTGCAAATAAATAATGATCAAAATAAAAGAATTTAAACTTATAAAATTAAATTGCAAAATATATAAAACTTATGGTCACAATGAAAAGAATTTAAATGTAAAACATAAAACCTAAAGGCTTTAACTCAAAATATCATAAAATTTTAATGCTAACATTATAATTTATCCATAATTAATAAATCAGGATTAAAATAAAAAAACCTAAGATACTAAATATAATATTTACCCTAAATATGTAAATATGCTGGAAAGGACTAAAATAAAATAAAATAAAAATAAAAGGGTTAAAATTAAATAATAACAAAACTTATGGTAAAGAATAAAAGTTATTAACATGAGTGATTAAATTATAACATATTTAAAATTAAAGGCTCTAGTTTAAAATATTAAAAATGTATGTATTGATAGTGTAATTTAGCCATATATATTGATACGGGATTAAAATAAAAACAAATAAATTTAAAAAGACTAATCATGATATTTTACCTTAAACATATAAATATACAGGTAAGGACTAAAATAGAATAAAATAAAATTCGAAGACAATATTAATATGTTCATAAATTGATTTCAGTGACTAAAATGGAAGTTTATAAACTTCAGGTGACTGCGTGTGTGGTTTAACTATTTTGAAATTTTACCCAGACCTCTCATCAAAACGCTGCCGATTTGATGAGGGTATAAATACCCTAAAACCGGCCCTTTAGGCCAAATTTCTTTCATTTCTCAATTTTCATTCTCTCTCTATCAGAAAGTGAGAAAAATTTTCTCTCATCTCTCTCTAACAACCTCCGCCTGGAGGGAGCCCAGGGTCTGGCAGGCAGCCGGCTGCCGTAGCCAACCACCACCGCTGGCCACCGTCAACGATGGCCAGAAATTTCTAAATTACGCTAGGATATAGATCTCGTTGTTCCAAGGCCGAATCCGACATCTATTTCCCCTAAAAGTCCCCGAAATTTCTTAGATCTAAAAAAGTACCTTCGGTATTTTTGGATCTCCGATGATGTTTGGGGTTCTTCGGCAAGGTAAGTTCTTCCTTCTTCTTTTTCTCAGTTGATTGTTGGTTGCTGTGTGTTCGTCTGCTCTGTTGGTTCCCGTTTGCTATGTGTGTTGTTGTTCGTGTTTTCTTCCACCCGTTCCTGTTTTTTTTATTTTGCAGGTTTGGTGATGGTATTATAAGCCATCTCTGTTGTTTGCTCGGACCGGTCCCATGGGTTGAGCCTCGGTGAGTCACCATAGCTATGGTGGTGACTCACTATAAAGCAAGCGACGTGGAGGGGCAACTGGCTTCTGGAAAGCTTGGTGAGGGCGGCAGCAGTTGGCGAGGTGTCGACGTGGGGCGACGGACCGTCGGCAGTGGCCGGTTGGAACACTTGGCAGCAGAGGCGGCGGCTGTAGTCCCTAGGGTATCATAACCCTAGGGTTTCCTACTGGATGAGTATGGGCCGTTGGATCTTGCCAGATCCAACGACTGTGAATTGATGGCGGCTGGGAGCAGATGAGATGATACAAACCCTGTATCATTAGGATTAGGCTTGGCCTGGACCGTTTTGGGCCATCCGAATTTTGTAAGATGGGCCAGAGTTGGGCCTTGTAATATTTATTTAAATAATAATAATAATATATAAAATTTATAATAATAATAATAATAATAATGATAATTTTAATAATAATAATAATAATAAAATGAAATGAAAAAATTAGTGTTTACATATACTTTACAGACATTACTTTATGAACCCAAAAGTTTTAATAAGATTAATATTTTCTTTTACCTCTAACTAATATACTCGATATATCTTATTAACCCGATATATTACCAAAATTAGTCAAATATCACTACAAAACCGTATAATTTAATGAAAGATATGTTATCTTTTTTTTTGTTACCGAAAGATATGGCATCTACTTGATTGCTGACTATTCAAACTTCTCACCATATAATTTATGTAGCAGGATTAAATAAACTTTGAAAAATCATATAATATGCGAAGAAATGAAAATGTCATCAATTGGTTCACCCCATCCATCACTTTCTTTTTTTCATGCATATCTAAACCCTTTTGAAGCAAACTTTTCTTATAAGAATAAATGAATTTAAATAACAGCTCACGAGCACGAGATTCAGAAAATTTTCAACAAATTTATTCAAAAAGGTCATCCACAAATTTAAAGAATTGTGGTGCAACTGGTTCATATACACACGAAACAAAAACGCAAGAACAAACAAAAATCCCATAGATCTTAATCCAAGTTGTGGTGCAGATCCAATCTTTTCCAAGCTCCACTTTCAGATTTTCTCTGTAAACAAACAGCAACTAGAAACCCCCAACACTTCATTAAGCGTGTTGATTTTCCCCTTCTCTCCGTCTCAGTTCTTCAAGTTGTCACTGAGAAAAGAATTCTCATTTCTTCTATATATTAACGTAAAGTTAGGATTTTTCTTACCTTTTTTTGCTTTGCCGAGTAATTGTTTTAATGCTAGCAGTGTCGCCTTTGAGGAACGCAAGGAATGATGAGAACAAAGGAAAGATGGAGGGTTTCGGTATTATTAGCTCGGAAGAGTTCCCGGACTTCGCCGACGGAAATTTACTCGAAAGTATTGATTTTGACGATCTTTTTGTTGGCCTTGATGAAGTTGATGCGCTACCGGATTTGGAGATGGATACTTCAAATATGAAAAATTCGGTCGGAAAACCCTATGAAGGTGTTAATCAAAGGAAAGATGAGGAAGAAAATAAGGTTTCGGGTTCGAGTTCGAGTAGAGGGGAGGAGATTTTCAGCAAAAGAGAGGAAGCTAATGCAGTTCATAAAACAGCTTCCAAACATGGTGTTAAGGGAAGAAAATCTTCAGGACAAGGAAATAATAACAATCAAGAGAAGCGAAAAACCAAGGTAAAATCTACACTAATTAGGTTTTCTTTAATTCGTTTCAATTTAATGATGAGTTGAATCATGTGAAGAAGGTGGATTGGACGCCGGAGCTGCATCAGAGGTTTGTTCAAGCGGTGGAGCAGCTCGGGGTGGAGAAGGCGGTGCCTTCAAGGATTTTAGAGCTTATGGGCATCGATTGTCTCACTCGCCATAACATTGCTAGCCATCTTCAAGTAATTCCACTATCTTTTCTACTATGGTGGAGTGGTTTGAACTTTGATGATATGAATATTTTATGTTTCGTTGTTGCAGAAATATAGATCTCATCGGAAACATTTGCTAGCTCGTGAGGCCGAGGCGGCGAGTTGGAGCCACAGGAGGCAAATGTACGGTGCCGCCGCTCCGGCTGGTGGAGGCAAGAGGGACATAAATCCTTGGGTTGCACCCACTATGGGTTTCCCGCCTGTGTCACCACCCATGCACCACCACTTTAGGCCTTTGCATGTATGGGGTCATCCCACCATGGATCAATCTCACATGCATTTATGGCCTAAACATCCAGGCCACATATCATCCCCTCCTCCGCCACCGCCACCGCCACCGTCTACTTGGGGACCTCCACCTGCAACAAATCCCTCGTTTTGGCATCATCACCACAAACGTGTAAGCTCTAGTCACCATTTTCCCCCGTGCTTCTAATCAAAAGTGTCGATTTTAATCATCCCCCCTTATTGTGTAGGTATCGAATGGGGTAACCCCAGGAACGCCTTGTTTTCCCCATCCAATGGCACCAACGGTAAAGAATTTGATTGATACTATAATTACTTCATTACAACATTTGAAAGTTTAGACATCAATTTTAGAATTTCGACTATAATTTCTGGACGTCGGATCGAATTAACCCGAAAAGAGCTTTGGTAGACTAGCTTTATGGTTTGGCATCTAGAAACTTTAGGTTGATGAAGCATTTTAGGTACACTCAGTTGATATGGTGCTTTCGTTGCAGAGATTTGGTGCAGCAACGGTCCCGGGCATTCCCCCACACCACCATGGCACTGGTGGACAATCAGGACCCCACCCGCTCGTTATATGCCACCCGGTTAGATGCTCTCACGTTGCTTTCAACTATCTCTTTTTATTAATAGCTTGATGATACTAATAGTTTGATAACCATTTTGATGAATTATAGTCGAAAGAGAGCATAGATGAAGCTATAGGCGACGTTTTATCGAAACCATGGCTTCCGCTTCCTCTCGGACTGAAGCCGCCATCCACCGATAGCGTTTTGGGGGAGTTGCAACGTCAAGGAGTGCCCAACATACCACCCTCCTCCTGTGCTTGATCCACTTAATTCGACGACATTACCTTGTGTTAGGTTCTTGTAGAAATCTAATATCGGTTTTTTTTTAGTAAAACTTGGTTCTTCTTGTTCCTTTTTCATGGACAATTTCATTTATCAACGTCATCCATGTTTGTCACTAAAGAAAACTTTTGTAATGCATTTTATAAATAAGATTTGAAATAAGCAAAATATTTATTATGAAATAATATAAAATGAAATTATCCAAACACTAAAAAGATAATTCAATTATCCGAACACAACTCATAATCTTACTTAATAAATCTATTGTCTCGTTCCAGTGATTCACAAAATTATATTGATTAATTTTCTAGAATTAATTATGTAATAATGTGCTCAAAAAATTATGTAACAATTAATTTGTTGAATCATATTTAGAAATATAATTTAAAAATATTATATAATACAAAATATTACTTCACAAAGAATACTAATATTTTATTTTGTAAAAAAAGAATACTAATATTTTAGAATTTAAATTATATAAATAACTTTATCTAAGATAAAATAAAAAATACAAAAATAAAATACAAAATATTTTATTCCTCGAGATTATGAGTTCCAGCACCATGTATGTCAGGAATATAAAAATTCAATATTAAATAGTTGAGAGTCTTTGAACAAATATTACATTATACTCATCTCAAATCAATAAAAAGAACATAAAATACAAAAATAAAATTCAACGGATATGTGCGAAAAAAAATCACAAATCTATCAATGGACATATGATAATAAGGTTATATATATATATATATATATATATACATTTAAATTAAAAAGCAAAACAAAAACATTAGTGGATATCACAAGACATGAATACTTAATTATGAAACTAATGAAAAGTACGTCCGTAAATTGCAGTTGTCCCAAACTACATAGTAGGGATGTAAAAAAATTATCAGATTTTAAAAATAGACTAAAACTGACTTGAGTTTGAATTATTTATGATCCGAGAAGATAATAATTCAAAATTAATTGAACCGGATCCAAATTAGATCTAATTATTTTAGATCTAAATCAGACTTGAAAATGACCAAAATACGAATTAAATCTAATAATATAATAATTGAATATGACCTATATTCGATCTGATTTTACATCCCAATACAACAGAAGATTCTTAAAAACACTGACACTGTCATATAACATAAAAATATTTTACTAAAAAATATATAAAAAATCGTATTAGTAATGAAATGTTTAAATTTTTTATAAAAAATAAATATTTTATATTAAAATCTGTACAAAATATAATATAATTCTAGAGATATTTAAAATTTTATATTTTAATGTATACGTTTAAATATGGATAATAAATCATGTTAAAGAAATAAAACATTAAAAAATATTAAAGATAAATCAAATCAGGGCGGATGGAGTGAGCACCAAGTACATCCCAAATTATTTTAGAAAAATCATAAAAAAAACTAGTATAATGCATTAAGGAAGGAGAAAAAAAATAAAGAATTGTACTTATCCAAGTTTTTTTTATTTAAAATGTATTAGAATTTTGAACCTCCGTTTTTTGAATTTTCAGATCCCTCGCTGAATCAAAATTTTTTTTTTAAATAAGATGAAGTCATTGTTGATTCATAAAGTATACAACGATAATTCATAAAAAGTATATCCCAATTGATTATACAATTCAAAATCTGACATTAATTTGACCACAAATCAGTGACAGATGAAAACATGTCAATTATGGAGTTAATAGCCATGGATGGGGCCTAACTTGCTGTCGTAGTTTCCGGCACGAGTACATAGAACTACTTTGTCATTAAACAAAAATCAAATACTGGGTAAGGGAAGAATAGGCCAGTAAATGAACTGAACGTTCAGTGAACCGTTCATGAACTGTGCGGCGGGAAGTTCGTTTATGTGCGTTTATTTATTAAATGAACGAACATGAACAAGATTTTGTGTTCGTTTAATTAAATGAACGAACATGAACATAAGTCTCGTTCGTTCATTTACGTTCGTGAACGTTCGGTTATATTTGTTTATGTTCGTTCGGTTATGTTCGTTTATGTGCGTTCATTTATGTTTAACCCAATATTCTTAAATCAATTTTGGTAACCAATTTATATGTATCTTAAAAATATTAATTAATATGATATTCTGATGACCAACTCCATAATTAACCCAATTTTACGTCGTTACCCATAAGCAATTAAGCGGTAATACAAAAAAACCCTAAATCTAAAAAGCAATATTTTCTCAACTCTTCTCCAGCCCGTCACTCAGCCGTTCTTGATTCTCCACTCTCCCCACTCTCCACAATTTTCATTTCTGCAACGATTCGACAGAGCTTCATCTCTTTTCCTTCATCTTGGCATCTTGAACGTGATTTCATAAGGTAAATAATTTGAAATTTTTTTGGTATGTTAATTTTTGGTGTGAATTTAGGGATTTTTTGTGGGTTTCAACGTTTTTTGGTCTGTTAAATCAAGGTTACATCTTTACTCTCTCTCATGCTTGGATTTGTTTTCCTTTCTTTAATTTTAATTATCCTTGTTAGATAAGATGCATTCAATTTCAAAGAGCTTTATCAATCTTGTTGAGTTTGCTTGAATGGATCGGTTGCTCTATGAATCGCAATTAAGGCAGAATGTAGTTCTTGCTTTAGTTCCATGTTTTTATATCTTTTATATTTGCACTGTACCGGTTTCTGGTTGAGGTCCGTTGTCTCCCTATTCGAAAAGGGACTTGCTATTCCTGTTATCTGCTCTGCTTCACTACTGAGGTACTTCTAAAAGTAGTGTTAGCTCCTTATTCAGTCGGTTTGGTAAAGGTATTAAAGCTGACACATCTAAATATGACCAACATATTAAAAGTGTCGATACTTTTACATTTGTCAAGTCAAAATTGGACACTTATTTGGAGGAAGGAGTTTTAATTGGTGAGTCTGGTGTATATTTTGATGCCTTGGGATGGTGGAAGGAGAACAATCTTAAATTTAGCATTTTGTCAAAAATGGTTGTTGATATATTGGCAATTCTGGTCACTACTGTTGCTTCTGAATCTACTTTCAGTGCTGGTGGGAGGGTTATTGATCCGTATATATCCTCTTTAGGAACTAAGTGATAGATATGCTTGTTTGTGGAGCTGAATGGTATCGTCAATACTATAGGTTGGAGAAAAATAAAAACAATGTATTTTTATGTTTTAAGTTTTATTGAATTTGGTTTTACAATGACTAATATATTTTTGGTTTTTTGATTTGTTGTAGCAAAACGAAGATATCATACATGTTGAGCTTCCTTGAAAATGAGGATGAATGAATTGGTATAACCTCACTAATTTAGTATACTTTTCATCTTTTGTTATAACTCCTTTAATTTAATATAATTTTATTTGTTTGATTCTGATCAGGATGGATGATGAATTAACGACTGATCATGAATGCAAGTTGAATATGTTAAGAATATTATTGAAGTTGTTTGGATTTCAAGAAGATTATTTTGTTGAACAAATTAACTTTAAGAATTTATTATGTTCATATATCTTATTTATGATTTATGAATGTTTTTGCATTGTCGACTATTTTTCATGAAAGAACAATGGTTTGTAGGGTCTCCAACGTTTATGTTTGTGTTCATTTATGTTCGTGTTTGTTTATGTTTGTGTTCGTTTATGTTCGTTTATTTATTAATTGAACGAACATGAACAAGTTATATTCCTTAATAAACGAACATAAACAAAAAAAAATTGTTCGTTTATGTTCGTGTTCGTTTATGTTCGTTTATTTATTAAATGAACGAACATGAACATACCTCCGTTCGTGTGCGTTCGGTTCGTTTACAGGCCTAGGGAAGAACAGTCCTAACAAGCTTGCCATTACCACACGGTACAAGTATTCTTGGGCCGGGTCAAAAATCTGATTTTTAAATTCAGGTCCGGATTTGAACCAATCCCCCCTCATTAGCTTCTAGCGATAAAGTATGATTAATGTGCAGAGGGTTGGAGCATTTATTTTAATAGTATGGAGTGGTTACAAGGTAATATTGATCAAAATATTTTTTAACCATTGACAACAAAAAACTATCTCGAGAAAATGGATTGAAAATAGTTATTTCCAAAGAGAGTGCATACAACAAAGGTTTCCAAGAGCTAATAAGGAGCCAACCCTAGTTGCAAGTTGCATACATCTGTGTCATTGGTTCAGGTACCCCAACAAAGTAAACAAGCTCATACGCAGTAGGAACCCAAGGGTTAGCCCTGGTGGTTATGGGCAGTCATTCCATAGGAATAGCCCGGATTAAAGAATGAATGTGTTCAAATGCATAAAAGAAAACTCGAATGCATAAAAGAAGGGTATCGATACCCCCTAAAGGAAAAAGGTGAATAATGATTTATTAAGTTCGTTTAATTTGTTAGTATCGAATTACAAGGTATAGGTATCTAATAATTGCCTTAAAATGTATTATTATGTAGATATAGAACGTAATTCCATTCTGGAACAATCGAAGAATTAGGATCAAATCAAAGCAAGCAAGGCTAAGGTGAGTGCATGTTAGTTATTACTTGATGTTTCATGGAAAAAAAGACTTGCGATAAGTCTATTTCCTAGAATAGGATGTATTAACTCATAATAGGAGCATATGTTTGACATGATGTATGTATGTTAATGGTTATTGCATATGTTATATGATATACATGAGTACAAGTTAGTATAATAGTAAATGAGTATAAATGGTTTCATAAGAAAGTGAAATAAACTATGAGAATATATGAAAGAGTTATATGTTATTGTATGAGTGATATGTTTTGTATGAATATATATACTAGTGTGACAGAGTATAGGAACTAGGATAAACGATATATATATATATATATATATATATATATATATGTGTGTGTGTGTTTACATAAGTCATATGTTATTGACCTAATGAATGGTATGTTATGTGATGTATAGAAGAACATATGTGAACAAGATATGTCATTATTGGTTATATGAACATAGGTGGAATAATATAAACTATTAGACATGATATATGTGATTACATATATATATATGTGTTGTATGTTATATGATA